GCATGGGAAAGGTAAAACCGTGTCTGAACATGCTACTCAGCCAGGGGAGGATGACAGGGACTGGAATCCAGTGTCAACCACTGGCAGCAAAATGGCAGAAAGAAGCTCAGGACCTCAGCCTGTTGGTTCTATGCATGGTCTAATGCCGCACATGCATGGCTATGAACTGGCTCAGACAAGCGGATCAGACTCGATGATGCCCATTGCTCCAGTGCTGTTAGGTCCTGGTTCGAACCGTAATGCGCAAGAAATGGTTAATTCTGGTGGGGTTCCCTTTACATTTTATCCTACAGGGCCACCGGTCCCATTCCTCACAATGCTTCCTTTCTACAATATTCCACCTGAGACAGGAACTTCTGACACGTCAACAAGCCATTTTGGTGGGGAAGAAGGTCTGGATAACAGTGATTCCGGTCAGAACTTTGATTCATCTGAGGGGTTTGATCAGTCTGAGGAACTAAATACTACTAATTCTTCGAGGAGGGCTGCTTTTGTTGAGACATCCAATGAGCATAAGCCTGACATTCTTAATAGTGACTTTGCTAGCCATTGGCAAAATTTGCAATTTGGGCGGTTTTGCCAAAACCCACCTTTGATTTATCCTTCACCTGTTGTTGTGCCACCTATGTACCTGCAAGGTCGTTTCCCTTGGGATGGTCCTGGAAGACCTATGTCAACCAACATAAATCTCTTCACTCAGCTTATGGGTTATGGCCATCGGCTTATTCCTGTTTCTCCACTCCAGTCAGTTGCTAATAGACCTCCCAATGTCTATCAGCGCTATGTTGATGAGATGCCAAGATATCGTAGTGGGACTGGAACCTATCTGCCGAATCCTGTAAGATAGTTCTTTATGTCCATTCCTACATCCTTTCGTTTTAATATTACTATTTTCTGCTATTTGAGTTTTGTGTCTTTTTTACACCAATAAAGAGGACAAGTATTAATTTATTGGACCATAAGATGTGATATATTTTTTATGCTTGTGTTTCCCATGTGCTATTTGACCACCAATATTGGCCTATGTGCTTACTGCAACCCACTGAACGGACAAGGTTTCCAGTAACTGCACCACTGTCTGATCCAGGTCTATTTATTGATTATATTTTGTTGGATTGTTTGGAACAATGGTCACATGGATTGTGGACTGATGTTCTTATAGTGGTTTTGAATGTTAATGTGTACAAGATTTGGAGGGCTTTAGAAATTTCTCTTTTAATCAGAGTATTTCTTGGAAGTTGGGTGTAGCATTATTTACTACTTACTAATAACTATTACATGTATTGTACTACCTGCAATGCAACTGGTCTACCTTCATGAAATGTAGTTTCATTTTAGGGGAAATTGCAATTTAGTGGAAGTTTTCAAAAAAAAAAAAAAAATTCAAATAAGTGATCAACTTTATCAATTATAATAATTGAATTTATGAACTTTTTCATGAATTTGTAAATATTTTGTCAAGATACCACTGATTTGCAATTTCCCCTTCATTTTACTACATGCTTATGGCTGATGTTGGTAGTCAGGAAGCTAACTTATCTGGTCCCATTTTACAACTTATTCACTATATTAGCGATGAGGTCAATTTTTATAATTTCTGTTTGATTGTGTAAGATTTGATGTGTTAACTTCGTATTTGACCTTCTATTCTGATTTTCCACAGAAGGTTGCTGTTAGGGACCGGCATTCTTCGAGTACCAAAAGGGGGAACTACAACCATGATAGAAGTGACAACCATGGTGATAGGGAGGGGAACTGGAATACCAATTCAAAATCGCGAGCTGCTGGTCGCAACCATAGTCGCAACCAAACTGAGAAGTCAAACTCAAGGCTGGACCGTTTGGCTGCCAGCGAGAGCAGAGCAGGCAGGTCATGGAGACATGACCCTGTTCCTTCTTACCAGTCCCAAAATGGTCCATTGCGGTCTAATTCTAGCCAGAGTGGTCCTCCCAATTTGGCATATGGCATGTATCCTTTATCAGCTATGAACCCCAATGGAGTGTCATCAAATGGACCAACTGGTCCGCCTGTTGTTATGTTGTATCCATTTGAACATAATGCGAGTTATGGTTCACACGGTGAACAGCTTGAATTCGGGACTCTTGGGCCAGTGGGTTTCTCAAGTATGAATGAACAACAGCAGCTAAGTGAGGGAAGTCGATCGAGGGAAGCATTTGAGGAACAAAGGTTTCATGGGGGCTCCATGCAACGGACTTCACCAGACCAGCCATCTTCGCCCCACTTTCCAAGGTAATTGTCTCCTATGAAAGTTAGTATCAATTTGTGTGACTTAACTTCCTATTATAGTTTGTTAGGCCTGTATTAGCCATTTTATTGCAGTCATAGGTTTGTGATTTAGGAACCACTTATGGCTAAATTCATCTTAGAAGGCCCATGTGAGCAAAACAGTAGTCTGTTTACCTTTTGTGGCTATTGATCTATGCGCTTAGGGCTTCCTCTGTAACCCTGAAATCCTTTCCTTGTAATTCGTTGTGCCATCAAAATTGCAAATCCCAGCCTCAAAATTAGCCAGCTTTGTGAGCTGGTCCTTGCCTTTCAGCTTACATGTTAGATTTGCTTCACAGCTCTTGCTTCCCGATGTTACATTCTTTAAGAGGCTTGGTTTTTCACTTGGTGTTCAGTAGTAGTGCATTTTGGGTTTTATTGTCACGAGCAGATTCTTCTTGAGGAAGGGTACGTATGGAGTTTGGATTTACCCTTAGCAATTGAGTTGATATTACCCTCCAAATTACGCTGAAACAGAAGGCATACTGCTTAACAAGCCTTGATTCCTATTGCTTGGAAGTTGAAATTCACTCTATGGATTTGTCTTTGCCAATAAAGTCCATGCAAAACCTTGTTCTTAGTCAAGGTAATATGTCCTTTCTTACATGCTCAATATATGCCCTCTTTGGCCTGCTGCATATTCTTTTACTATTTTCAACTTGGATCAAGTCCCTCAATTGTACTGGTGCATTAGTTACTCAAAAGTTGCAAATGGCCAAACAATCCCAATTGACTTTTGTTTATTTTATTTTAGATCGGCACCACTTTTATTAGAACAAGACTATTAGAACACTAATTGAGGTGGGGTGTATTGAGTAGCTTCAGTGATGCTCCACAAAAATAGAGCCTGTGAAGCCCTTCTCGCATGGTTTGGAGAATCCTATATCAAAACATCAGTTGTCACTTTTACCTACATACTCCTGAATATTATTAGTAAATTTAGGCAATTAGGCTCAATGTGGAACTGTAACTTTACATCAACATGCTTCATCGAGCCTGTGAGTCTATATAGACATAAAACAATAGTTACAGCACATGTAAGCATGAAGAATAGGCTACGGGCTTTCTTATTAGTGCCCGAGTTTGTATGTTTATGTTGTAGAATTTGTTGCATCCATGTGATGATGCGACCTGAAATATTTGTAGTTGAGCAATATTATTATGGTAATCAGTCATAACTACCAGGCTCTTCCCTCGGTGAATTCACTAAGTGCCATTTGTGTGAGCCCGGATTAGATTTAGTAGTGGAATTTGGTCTGTTTAAAGCTCAGATTGTGAGATGTTTTTCTTTTTCTTTTTGATAATGAGATTGTGATGTGTTTCAAAGCTCTTTGTTTCTCTGTCTTAAAGAATTAAGGAGTAACTACACTTTACCCCCTATGATTTGGCCCAAAAAGACAACCTCCATATGTTTTAAAAGTAAACACAACCCCTTGTGGTTTCAACGAAAGTGCAAAATGAACGGATTCTGTCAGCTTTAAAGGCTTGTGGACCCCACACTTTGAGTTGACTGGGCAGTAATGTTTTTCTGCCAAAAAAATATGTGCAAATTGACTTTTTGGTCCAATTTTTTTCAAATATTCTCCATTTTACACACACAGAGAGTAGCGGCAATATCGAATTTTCACTTTAGTCCAAATCACATGGGGTTGTGTGTTCACTTTTAAACCATGTGGAGGTTATTTATTTTTGGGCAAAACAAGGGGATAAAGTGTAATTATCCAAAGAATTCATGGGTTTAATTGGCTTATGGAAGGAATGGTCTTGTTAGAGAACTATGTGAGCCTGATTAGAATAAGCTACGTACTGCATGTTTAATGTCATGGCTGTGATTAGTTTAGTTACCTATTGCTTTTCCATTTTTCTTTCTTTTCTTTTCTTTTTTCTTTTTTTGTTTTGAATTTTTATGCAAGTTTCTCAAAAATTATTTTTGATTATTTCACTGGAATCATTATGTGATACTGTCCATGTATTTATCTTAACAGGAGGGTTTGATTATTTTGCCAGATCAGTGGCTCAAAGGAATTTTCGGTTGAAAGAAGAGGATTTTCTGCCTCTTGCATTTTCAAACCAGGTAGAAAATGATATTTGGGAGAAAAAACCATAACGAGAAAATCTCTTATTGCCCGACCTTTTCTCTTCTCACACACAAAACAAGAACACCTGGAATTCTGATTTGATGATTGCTTAAAATTTCACTAATTAAAACATTCACCTTAATGCCTGACTAACGCTTGTATGTAAACTACCTAGTCATCTTCTAACCTCACAGCCCTTTCAAGGATTTGGAAGCATGGCGGACGGGGAAGCAAGACCCATTTAGATTTTTTTTTCCTTCTCCTTTGTTGTAGGGTTTGACAGATTGTAGTTCCTCTGAAGAACTCTTTCGAGGTTTACAATTTAGGGTTTAACGTTGTTATAAAAGCCTTTTGCTGTCAGGATTTTCCTGCACGCATTCTTTTTTAGGGATTTGATTCATAAACTCTGTGCTCTAGCTACGATTAGCTCTTGTTCAGGATATTATTGACAGTGTAGCATTATCACTTGATAAAAGATGAAATTAGATGACAAAAAAGTTCCATATCGTAACACATTTTTGATGTTTCTTGTATTGATATGGCTGTTCTAAATTGTAGTATGTCATGTGATTAACAAGATTTATCACTTTGATTTTGGTATAATTCCTCATTTTGCATGTGCTAGCAATTTAAAACTCTGGATGAGTTTTGTTCATAGATTATTATAGCCTCAACAAAGGGAAACATAGGGTGAAGTGTGTAATTGCTTCATTTTGTTTGTTTTGTTTTTTGGTGCACAAGGAGTGTTAAGTGGTATTCAGAAAGAGTAAGGCTATACAAACAAATACATTTTCAAATTGATAGTGCCAAATAAAACACAAAGTGCTACGTTTAGTTTTTAAGAAAATTTTGTGTAGCATAGTTAATTCAAAAAAGAGGTGTTGGCTATTTTCCATTTTCCATCAAATTTACAAATGTATGGCATGCATATGTGTGTGTTTGTGATGGTTTGGAACTTTTATTATGAGTTGAACTTGAATTTTAATTGGATCATAAATGATAAGATTATATTGAAAATGATTTTTTTTTTTTTTTGTTTTAGGATGAAAATGATTTGTCTTTGTTTGATAAAGTTTTCATTTTTGTGTTTTCAAAACAAGAACAATGAAAAATTAGGAAGCACCCATAGTTTTAAGCTTGGGATTTGAGAGTAAGCAAGACTCTGAGAAGATCTCTGATTGTGATCAATTGGGTCTCACTCAAATCTTGGTAATAACGAATGCAATGAGTTATTTCATGTCAGATAAATTCGAACACTCGAGAAATTTGTTGTACAAGAAGATTCAAATCTCTTACCGACGGACACAATCCTAAGTTTTTGGAGTAGAAGCAATTTGCTTTTTAAATATTTGTTAATGCTATGGTAACTAAAAAAAATTTGGGTAGCAAATGATTTTGGAGTTTCATTTTTGAGTGCACACTTTAAAAGTATTTCTCTACAAAGGGCATTTTCAGAATTTTCTTTTTCCAAAAAGTTTATTTGTAAACAGATAACAGAACAATAACAAATAATACATTGTCATAGTTTATTTTCCAAGTTCTCATTTTGCCTCTTGCGACTCTGTTTCAATTTTAAATTTATAGACAAAAACTGTAACCCCAAAAAACGAATGTTTTCACGTTTCTCTTCTTCTGTCTAGAATTTTCTTGGGGTTATATTTTCAGAATTTTCTTTTTCCAAAAAGCCATTAGCAAAGATGAAACTCCCTTCCACTCACATGTAAACTAATCACCTTTTCCATTTCTATCAATGTAAGATACACCTCAGTTTTCTCTACAAGATGATAGGTATTAAATACAAACAATAAAGAGGGGGCCAAAATTTTGATAACAAGATTAATGCCCTCCCCTTTTGATCTACCTACAATCACTGTTTGGTCACAAAGAAAAAGATCAAAGAAAATGCAATAACTTTCCATTTCATGGTCTATGAACATCAACACAAATGAGAATTTTGGAAGTAACCAAAAGAATTGCAAATCTATTTAGTACGCAAACCAGGAATGTTTTTTAGGCCCATTTTGCCAAGGATAAGCTTGGGAATTGCTGGAGGGTTGTCGAGCCCCATGCTCCGGCTGAAATCATTTGCAAGCTCCACAAGTTTGTACTTGTCCCGCCCTACGTTCTTGTTGGAATTGTAGTAGCCAAGCCATGCCTGGTATGCTGCTTCTTTGTTTTTCATCTCTACATGGGATAGCGATTTTTCCACCTGTTCGATTCAAGTTAGTTTGAATTCACAAAGAACCCTAGAGAATTCGCATCAAGAACAAGAATTTGGACAAAATATATGGCTAAATTATCCGAAAACAGAAGGGAAAATAAAATCATGGCAAATGCATCAGGACTAGCTACTACTACGTCGGACAGGTCAGGAAGAAGAAAAACAAAACAAAACTAGAAGATGAAGATAACAGAATTGTAAGTTTCATTTGTGCTGACCTTTTTCCTTGTCTCTGGATCAACCAAAGGTACCGCGGCTTTCGTGATCGGCAATTCCTTAATGTTGGACAAAAAGAATTCCTCCCAGGGTGCCAATAACAATATGCCCTGCCCTTCTTTGCCTTTCCGGCCGGTTCTACCAAGCCGATGTATGTACTGCTCTCTATCAGATGGCAATCCCAGCTGCAATTGCAAATATATGGATTCTTCAACCAATGTCAATCGGGGGGAAAAAAAAATTAAAAATTTACATCCAATATTTTGTAAGTAAAGGTTTTAGTCAAATTTTGAATGAGAACGAGTCTCTCCTCTGACTTCAGTATTGTTTCAGAAATGCCCAACTGAATAGGTTGCTTACTCAAGGACGATGAAGATGCACATGACTCAACCTTTTAGGCTCAGTTAGGATGATAAGAATTTTATGGGGAAATGGGAATGTGATTCTGGATCCCCAAGATAAAACCGTTTGGAATAGATTGGAATAGGATAGTGATTTTTAATTACCTACTCAAGTTATAATTACTTTCCCAGACTAATACGTTTCAATGTATTTGAATAGGCACCCTGAATTATCCAAACACTTAAATGGGACTATCTTAGGGATTAGATTACTGGGTGTTGCCATATTGGATCCCTAGCAATGAGATTACCATTCCACCTCTAGATTTCAGTGATCCAAAGATAGCCTTGGAGAATAGAAAATTTTAACACATTACCTGAATAACAAGGGTAACATCTGGGTAATCAACTCCACGTGCAGAAACATCAGAAGTCACAAGAATAAGTCCTTTAGACTTCCGGAATTCATCAGAGACCCTAGTTCTATAACCCTGTGGCTTTCTAGAATGGATCTCTCGAACATTCAGATTGAGCTCACCAAGGAGGTCAGCAACAAGTCTTGTGACCATTGCAGTTGTACAGAACACAAGAACCTACAAAAACACCATTTCGGGTAAGCACAGAGAGAGAGAGAGAGATCATGATGACACTAACAAACACCAATCATTGACATTTAAAGCAGACCACAATTAGACAGCAAGATGGTGAACTAATGTGATAGACACATAACCATGAAGCAGCAAATTTGAATTGAAATGTATAATGTTCAACCATGTGTTCACAAAAACATGAAACAACTAAAATCATCTTATGAATACTGCGGTCAATATATTTCAGAGAAGAGCTTTTTTGGACAACACTGTACCTTGTAATCAACATCATTTGAGATATGCTCTTTCAGTAGAACATACAATAGTGAAAAATGCTTGTCCAAAGGTGAAACTAGATGCATCTGTCTAACCTGAAAATCTCCAATATTTTTAAGATTTGAGATGCCAACAATTCATAAGTAACAAGAAATATATAAGAAAGAGAATCGTAGATGGCATGTAGCTTGCCTGTGAGTGTGTCTCCTCACTACCCTCTCCAACTGTATCAATAAACTCGTGATCTCTTTTCAAAGCAATATGGCAGATTTGGCGAACCTTCACACCAAAAACCACTCTTTAGATTTTCTTTCTTTTTCTGCATTAGTTTCTCAAGTGGGGGGAAAAATTATAGGACACGTTACTAACACAAAACAAAGAGTGAAAAATAAGAACCTCTTCTGGAACAGTAGCAGAAAACAGAAGCGTTTGTCGCTGTTTTGGTACAGCTGCTATGATCTTTTCAATGTCTTTGCGGAATCCCATGTCTAACAAGTGATCAGCTTCATCAAGCACAAGGACTTTCACACCCATGAGCCGAGTTGCAAATCCCGCGGTATTCTCAATATGATCTTTGAGTCTTCCAGGTGTAGCTACAAGAATCTTTACGAGGAAGTGAAAAATATGAGGTGACATCCAACAAAGTACAAAAAGATGAAATAAATCAACAAACAGTGCTTACTTATTTGGCATTTGGCAAACATATAATCATAAATTGAAGTCTTATGCATGATAATTATTGTCTTGCAATGATAAGAAACTCACCTGGCAAGGATTTGCTTGCAAACGTTTCTGTTCTTGAGGAAGTCTCGTACCTCCTATCACGACTTGGACACCAATAGAAGGATGATACTTCAACAAGGTGTTAGCCTCTGCAGCAGCCTGACTAGCAAGCTCTCGAGTTGGGCATATTACAAGTACAAGAATCGGGGGTCGTTTCTGATCACGACCAATAGGGGGTGACTTAACAATTTCTTCAATTGATGGAAGCTGAAACGTAAAAATATTAATAAGTTTGACATCTGTTATATAGGGTCCATTAAAATCAAAGCAAGTCAATTCAGATATTGTCTTCTCTTTGTCCTCCCCAAGACAAGTTAGCACACAAATTCGGTCCAAATCAATAACCAACACAATATCTCCCTTACTCACTTTTTCATTCAACCTTTTCAATATCTTAACTAAATTAAAGGATAAATTTAAGAAACAATAACATAAGGTGTGGCTGTTAGACTACTTATTCATACACTTCAACATGTGTGATGGCAAGTGCTATCCGCCCCTAGCCTTGTGGCAAGGGTTTGAGTCATGGGTATCAGCCTCTCCAAAGGGGGGGAAGAAAAAAAAAAAGAAGAAGAAGAAAGATAATGAATAAAAAAAAAGTGGGAATAAGGCTACCTACTTACTACCTCTCCCAAACCATTCTATAAGCAGGAGCCTTGTGCATTGGGTTAACCAAACTCACTCAAGGAAAGAAGAATTCCATGTACTATTTTCAAGATATAAAGCATATTATCTTTATTTAGTTTTTTTAACTTAATTTTGAAGTGGAAAAAAAAACAAAAAAACAAAACAAAACAAAACAAAACAAAAAAGAGATCAGTGAAGCAACTCCAAAGAAAATTGTAATGATTTTAAAAAAGCAGATGCAATTGGAAATGGAGCTGGAAGTCATTAGAGAGCATAAGAGGGGGAGGAGGAAAGCCCTCATTGTAGATGGGGTATCGGCAGACAATCAATCTTTTCTTGATTTAAAAGTCAATATGTACAAAAACACACACAAAAAGATAGAATGTTATACCAAAAATGCTACAGTTTTTCCAGTGCCAGTTCTTGCCTTAGCCAGAACATCCTTACCTAGAAAACAAAGTTGATTATAATAGGCATTGCCACTGTATAGAAATTTAAAAAACACAAGTAAATCATAGAAACAGCGCATGAATCATGCAATAGGATAATGTAAAAAGATGCAAGTCCCTTGCATGTACTCATGATTGGTTCAAGATCACACAAATGAAGTGAATGTTCATAGCTCTATCTTTTTGAGAAACACTTTGTGAAAAGCTGCTAAAAGAAGAAAGGAACTCACTGAATCTAGACAACAACAAACCAGTGAAATCCCAATCCACATGTGGAAACTGTCATGCTAGGCAACCCTTCCATGATGTCAATGGCACAATTCTATGATACAATTTTAACTATTTTGATAGAACAATCAAAGCTTGAAAGTCCATATACAAATTCATGTCATTTTTTGTATTAAACAAAAAATGAATTACAAATTACAAATTGTTTTCATTACTACAGTAGTTAATTGGCAAGCAGTAACATGTTGGTTGGAACTCACTGAATCTAGACAACAACAAACCAGTGAAATCCCAATCCACATGTGGAAACTGTCATGCTAGGCAACCCTTCCATGATGTCAATGGCACAATTCTATGATACAATTTTAACTATTTTGATAGAACAATCAAAGCTTGAAAGTCCATATACAAATTCATTTCATATTTTGTATTAAACAAAAAATGAATTACAAATTACAAATTGTTTTCATTACTACAGTAGTTAATTGGTAAGCAGTAACATGTTGGTTGAGAAATACCAAAATATTACATCTGTCTCCAAAATGATTCCCAAAATATATATATATATATATATCATAGCTTCTAGTTAGAAGCCTACCTTTGAAATTTAAAAAATGTTTTAAAGAGAGACAAACCTTTGAGAATAAGAGGAAGTGTTGCCTCTTGCACCACAGTCAGCTTCTCATACCCAGCATCCTTAATTCCCTTTAATGACAAGGGAGACACTGAACATTGATCAAACCTGAAAACATTCACAAGTATCAATTCCTCACCCAAAATAAAAATATAAAAAATATATATATAAAAAAAAAAAAAAGAATGAAGAAAAGTCAACTCAATTCAACTAAACAAAGCCTCAAATCCAAAACTACAGCACATTGGGAGCACAACTTCTTTGTCATCAAGTTCTAAGGACTATATATTTGTTACATCCCGGGCAATCATGTATTGTCAATTGCTTTTGCACATAGAGCAACCAAAGGTCTTTGTCTTGGATGACCTAATCTAACTGCCTTAAATGATTTTTCGCTCATCACATTCTGATGGTGTCTCAAAGCTTCTCAGATATGCATTATTTCTCAGCTTCTTTAGTTTGTTCACAAACTTTTTTCTTCCACTATAAGCAAAGAACCAACCCACTCTAAGCCAAAATTTTTCTGCTTCAATCAAATATGTTGTTTCAAATTTTTTTAATCTTCTTCCCAATCAAATTCATTAGCATCCCATTCTCACTCATAGATTTACTAATTACATGCAATGAAATGCCACCAAGGTAACAAATCAAGCAGCAATTTTTCCCTTAATTTAATTTATACATTGGGGGAACAAATAAGCAACTCACTTTTTGCTCACTTCCCGTAATCCTTCATATTAAGTATTACTTGTACCCAAGGTTTCCCATGCAAATCTATGATGTCTAGAGCCATGTTCCTCTAACCTTTTGTCCTTCAATCCTAGGACAAAAACTTACAATATTCCCAATAGTAGTATTAACGGAAACAAATTGCTACAATAAAAGAAAAAAAATCCATAATTGGACTGTTCTAAAACAAACCTTGTCTCACTCAAGTACGAGTCATTTCTTCCAGATGAACTAGGCACAGCCTGTGGACTAGCTTCCTTGTTTGTAAACAAAGATCCCGCATTCTCAAGCATGCCATCAGATGCATCGCCATCATCTTCATCACTATCTCCCTCGCTGACCAAATCTTTAAAGCTCTTCCATAACCCCTCCTTTGACCCCTCCTCCTCCTCCTCCTCCTCCTCATCATCATCATCACCATCATCATCATCATCACCAATTTCCTCATCTGAGGTCACAAAACCACCTCTTACTGAACTTTTCCCACCTCTCTTTAATCCTCCGCCACCACCTCTACCCTGACCACCATGGCCACTCAATCTGGCCCGACCATACCCCAAATCTGAACCTCTCCCACCCCCTCGGTTCCGACCATACCCCAATTCCGAACCTCTCTCATTACCATCGCTAATTTCCTCATCTGAGGTCACAAAACTGCCTCTTCCCAAACTTCTCCCACCTCTCTTTAATCCTCCACCACGACTGCCACGGCCACCACCACCACGTCGACTACCACGCCCACCCACTTGGTCCCTCCCATACACAAAATCTGAACCTCTCCCACCATTGCCACCCCCTCGGTCCCTACCATACCCAAATTCTGAACCTCTTCTCCCACTATTGCCACCCCCTCGCTCCCTACCATACCCAAATTCAGAACCTCTTCTCCCACCATTGCCACCCCCTCGCTCCTGCCCATAACCCGATTCCAAACCTCTCCCACCATTAGCACTCCCTCGGCCACGCCCATACCCAAATTCAGAACCTCTCCCACCTCTCTTAGCTATTGTTGAATCTTCCCCCCCTCTCCAACCATTCTCTCTCCTTTGCGACCCAAACCCATCATTCTCTCCCTCCAATTGAGTACCAAACCTTGCTTTCCCACTCGAATTCCTCGAAAATGACCCGAATGAATCCCTACCCATTCCCCTATTCGACATTCCATAATCATCCGAATCACTACCTCTTCCCCTCTTAGCCGGCGAAGCCCTATCTCTCCCACCACCTCTCTCATCCCTACCCCTACGCCTATCACCACCCCTCCCTCTACCCGAACCACGCCCAATATCATCACCGTCACCGTCACGAGACGAGTTTGATCTCAACCCACTGACCCAATCACTGAGCTCAGCTTCGTCGTCAATAAGGCTTTTTGAAGCCCTAACCTCGCTCGAGCGGGTCGAGAATCGACGAAGGCCGAACTTTTGGGTGGTGAGAAGTGGAAGAGAGAGTTGTCTGGAGAGAGATTGGTACTTGATCTTGTGAGGGAAGATTCGAGTGAAAATGGGGATAACCCGAGTGGAGGAGGGTTTGAGTGGGTTGGGTTTCATGGTGGAGAGACTACTGGCCACCGGAAGAGAAGGGTTGAGGAGACGGAGATGAGGGAGGAGCTTGACAGGCATGGTAGAATGGATTGTAGAGAGAGAAATGAGGGATGTTAATGGGGAATTTGAAGAGGGTTTTGCCAGAAATTGGTAGGGTTTTGTTGTTGCAGAGCCGAGAGAGAGAGAGAGAGAGAGAGAGAGAGGGATAGGGTTTAAGCCTAAGCCCTAAGGTTCTACGAGAGGGGGGGTTTCAAGTGTTTAACCTAAAGAGACGTTACATCCAACCAAACGTCGTCGTTTAATAGCTACTTCTTCTTCTTTTTTCCCTTATTGGAAAAAGTAATACAGTACTACATATTTTAACAACAATTACAAATCATTCAAGTAATAGAATATAATACACATCTCTTAAATATAAGAGCACCTTCAATTTATATGTTAAAATTGCATTTTAGTGTGTCAATTCTACCCCGTGGTGAGCTTACCAACCGGAATTAGGATTGCTGGTGGGTGAGGTGCACATTAGTCACTTTTATGGGATTGATGGGGCTCATTTCAAGTCTGATTTTAATAAGAGTAATGGTAGAGATCCCAAATATTCTATCAAAAGTTTTACTAAATGTCTTATATGGGTGTGGGTCTCATGTGGGTCCCACACCCATGTGAGACATTTGGTAAAACTTTTGGTAGAATTTTTGGGACCTCTAGCATTTTTGTTTTAATAATTTGAATTATTTATTTTTTATGATACATCGAATATAATGGTCCTGTTTGGTAGAGTTGTGGGAAAGTGTTTATAGCTTATGCCTAAACAGCTTATAACTTATAACTATGAACATAAGCTGATTTCTGAGTTATAAATTAAGCATCTCCTGCCCCACTCAAAGAATAAGCTGATTTCTGACTTCCAAAAAGCTATAAGCTATAAGTTATAAGCTATAAGCTAAACCAAACACATCAAAATAGCTTAAATTAAGCTGAAAGCTGAAATAAGCTGCTTTTAAGTTCTGCCAAACAGGCACAATATACTTATAAAAAAATTAAATTTATCGGATAGTAAGTTTTTTTATCGAATTGTATTTGCATTTAAAACAATTAATGATAATGTGATTTGAAATATGAAATTGAATACAAATATTATTTGATAAAAAGATTATTTATATCCTATTAATTTAATTTTTTACAAATATATTCTACTTAATATAACCTAAAAAATAAATAATTAAAATTATTAAAATAAGATCCAAAATAGACTCCTTACACAAGCTGTTGACCTCAATTCCTCGTGAACTCCCAAATTCTCTCAAATTAAAAAATCTCTTTCAAGTGTAAAATAAATGGCTGGCAATTGTTATTAACAATATTATTTTTTACTACCATCTTATGGGTCCTAATTTTCTATGAAAGGATTACGGTATTTGGTTTTAGGCCCCGTTTAGTAGAATTGTGGGAAAGTGATTATAAATTATACTTTAATAGATTAAAACTTACAACTGTAAACATAAGTTAGTAACTTGTTTAGTGCAGCTGTGAGATTATGGATTTAAACAGCAGAGTAGTGTTTGGTAAATAAACTGTAAAATAGCTTTTTGTTGTATAATTGTCATTTTTGCCCTTATAGGATATAAAATTTGTGATTTCATTTATAATACATTTTTTTCTTTTTCTTTTTCTTTTTCATTTTATTTTATTTTCTTTTCTTTTCTTTCTCACCTTATGTTCTTTTCTTTTTTTAAATTTTTTTTTTCTTCTCTTCTTTCTTTGTTAATTTTTTTTAATTTATTAATTCATTAAAATTAATATTCATGTTCTAATTTATATTAATGTTGTTATTTCATTACATATTATTTTCATATATTCATCAATTTTTCATCAATTTATCAATTTATATTAATGTATCAATTTTTCCAATTTATTTTTATTATTATTATTATTATTATTAATGTATCAATTTATATTAGTTTATCAATTTACATATATTCATCAATTTATATTAATGTATCAATTTTTCCATCAATTATTGTTATTATTATTATTATTATTATTCTTTATTATTATTCATTTTAATTATTTTTAGTAATATTTCATTTTTTCATTTTTAGTAATTCATTTATTCATTTGACAAATCCTTTCATTTTTTTCAATTTATATCATTTTTTTTTGTGATATTTCATTTTTTCATTTTTAGTAAAATTATTTCATTTTTAAGTTTTTAATTTATTAGTGTGAATTAATGGATTAATTAGCATGAACTAACACTAAAATTTTTAATTAGTATCAATTAATATAAAATTTATTTCTTTAAAATGCTTAACTATTATTATGATTTTTTAATTAAAAAAAACAATGAAAACTTCCCCCCTCTCCAAAAAAAAAAAAGAGATCGTCACCGTCGATCATCAAATCACGATCGTCATTCTAGGGTTTCAGATTGTGAAGCTAGGGTTCCACGCAGAGATCTAAAAGAGTCGATCGTGACTCTAGTCGATCGATCTGGTTAGGGTTTCGATCGCAAAGCTAGGATTTCGATCGCTAAGAGAAAGAGAGAGAGAGAAGAGATCTGGTTCGCCTCTCGCCAGAAATCGTGAAGCTAGGGTTCCGATCGCTAAGAGAGAGAGCACTGGTTCGTAAGAGAGAGAGAGAGAGAAAGAGAGAGAGAGAGAGAGAAAGGGGGGAAGAAAAAGCACTGGTTAGCCTCTCACCGGAAATCGCCTCTGTCTCTCTCTCAGAGGATGAACAGTGATGCTTGGTGGTTTATATAATGGCAACTTGGTAATACTTCAAATTAGTAAAGGGCATTTAAGTAATTTTGCCCCTTAATTTTGTAGCTTCCCGTTTAAGTTGATGAGTTAAGCACCCTTCCAGCCACTCAGCCAAAAAGCACTTTTTTGGCTTAATTTAAGCTACAAAAAGTGATTTTAAGTTTTACCAAACACACCAAAACAACTTAAAATAATCTATAAGCTGATTTAAACTGCTTTTAAACTCTACCAAACAGCCCCTTAGAATAGTTAAAATTGAAAAGTGATTCCCAAATATAAAAATATATATATTGAAAATTCAATCTATAATAGCATCACATTGACATTTTTAAAATTATGAAATGTTTTAGACTGAAATGAAATGACCAATAAAAATCATAAAATTTTATGAAAATTTTGTGCAAAAATTATGAAGGGATTGAATTTTCTCTGGTTAGTCATCTAAACTGAGATAAACAATTGGGCTTTGTGGGCTTCTTCTTGGCTCACCTTGGTCATATGCACCGCTCCTTTTTTGAAATTGTTGAAAAAAATATTAATACAAAAAATCAAAATAATCAAATATTATTAACTACTTGACTAAATGACATGGGTGCTTTTTTGATAAATCCTTTTTCTAAGAGTTTTATTCTATCCAATCCATATTCTTTTTGACTATTCCATTGGGTCCTATTTGAGGTAAGAAGACCAAAATACCATTTTCATCTACTTATGTTTCATTTAGTCCACATTATTTTCTTATGTTTCAATGAGGGATTTTTTTTTTAAGGTTCCTCGTATTATGATTTTATAGCATAAAGGACACTAAATATTTTCATAATGCTAAGGTCCCTTAACAATATTTTCATAATGTCTAAGGTCCCTCAACCTTGATCCAGAGAAATTTCAGTCCAGAGAAATTTCAGTCCAGAGAAATTTCAGTCAAGAGAAAATTGGTCTAGAGAAATTTGGTCCAGAGAAATTTCTCTGGACCAAATTTCTCTGGATGAGTTTCTCTACTTTTCTTCTCATTCACATCCAAATCATTGTGATTTATTAGGTAAGCAACATTGTTCAACTGAATTCAACTGGAAAAATTCCACATTACAATATGTAAGCAACATTAGAATGGGATAACAATGGCAACTTACCAGAACTAGAGAAATTCTGAAAAAATCTGAGTATTTCTCTGGTTTGTTATTGAAATATCAATTGAGAATTTCTTTGGTTTATTAAAAATAGCAATTGAGAATTTCTCTGGTTTATTAAAAATAACAATTGAGAATTTCTCTGGTTTGTAATATCTGGAAAAATTTCTGCAACTTACCCAAATCTGTTCTTCGCTTTTTTCCAGTTGAATTTTTCAATCGAAAGTGTTTCTCTGTTGAACAATGTTCAACTGAATTCAACTGAAAAAATTCCACATTGTAATATGTAAGCAACATTAGAAGAGATAACAATGGCAACTTACCAGAACCAGAGAAATTCTGGAAAAATCTGAGAATTTCTCTGGTTTTTTATTGAAATATCAATTGAGAATTTCTCTAGTTTATTAAAAATAACAATTGAGAATTTCTCTGGTTTGAGAATTCACCAGGTTTGTTCCTTTCATTTACAAAAACATTCTGCGAAGACCAATCAAACATTAGCCAAAAAAACATTAGCCAAAAAATTATATTTTCTGTCACCATTCGAATCCGACCACTTAGCTTACTTGATCTTCTCAAGCTGAACCTGAGTATCCTTGGACAGCTGCATTCTCTCAACCTTCAAATGTCAACCACGGCAGCTTCATTTTTCGAGCTTCACACCGCACACACACAGCTTCAACCCATGCACATACACAACCCATGCACACAGTCACACACATACACGGCACACACATACACCACAACACATAGATAACTAGCTATATCAACATTACCTCTCCAGAGAAATTTTGAAATTTCTCTCCAGAGAAATTTTAGCGGCTTGGTTCTTCTCTGATCTGTCACTTATATACTCTATTACCTTCAGCTGCTGACCATCCGAACAGCATTCTAGGTGAATCTGATTTTGGATCTTTCAATTCTCATGAATCTGATTTTGCTTTGGAATTAGGTTTTGTTGGGAAAGATTTCAACAAGAGCCCAAAACGACTTGGAGAAAGGTGACCAAGATGACCTATGCTCAAGTGGCAATCTATGGTTTCAGCGATAAAGTAGGTCTTCTCTCATTTCCTCAAAGAGAGGACACATTTGAGATGACGAAGTCGTACAGTAGCAAGACCGCTGCAATCATCGACAACGAAGTAAGAGAATGGGTGACAAAGGCATACGATCGCACGTTACAGATGATAGAGCAGTACAAAGAGTACGTAGCTCAAATTGCAGAGTCAATCGATGTGTCTCTGGCGGAGGAGCTGAGTGCAGGAAGGAGAGCAACTGGTCAAGGGTTGGGGATTTAGAGCCAGCGGAGATCAAGCTCAGGACAACGTGGATGGAGAGGG